TTGCCCCGGATTGGATTGCATTTTGTGCGGGCTTAGTTGAGATTTGTTTTGCTTGGCAAGGTTTTTGGTCTGCGCGCGCATTGAGCCGCCTCGTTTTGCATGGCATAAATTTGAATTTTCAAAATTATTTAAGATGTTTGCCCTAAGTAGCCTTAGTTGTCGGTGGCTCGGCGGATTATAGAAAATTTGGAAGATGCCGGGTGGATGGTCGCACGGTATTGCAAAGCATGTAAAGGTAAAAAAACCCTCTATATGGAGGAGCCATTATCATTGATCCTTGTGGTGTTTGATCCAAAGAAATTGAAAATTTTGTCTAGTTAATTTCATCCTCGAAGGTTTGTAAATGTTGTGTTAGGCCATGTTAAGTCGGTGTTGAAGCGTTTCCATATATGATAAAGAAAAATGCTAGTGAAATTAGATATAGCTAAATATATAGTATTAAGCCTTATTGGGATCTATCCCTTAGGCGTGACGACATTGCCTTGGCGAAATTTGTGATTAGGTTGGTTCAGAGCTTTGGTGCGATACAGTTGCGCCGTATTTGATTTCGAAAGGTATTGCTAAAGACGCCGGCTCAAATCGCGCACCATTGAGCATGTAAACAACGCTATGGCTGAATATGTTGCAGATTTTTGTTAGGACGATGAATAGTATAATTTTGCATTAAACCGATGATAGTAGGCCTGACAAAACATTCTTTGTGCACAATCGAACGGCCCTCAAGGGATACCGGTCCAAATATCTACGATATTCACGTACCGGGATGGATCCATAGGTTTAATGCCTCCTCGCGAAACATATGTTGCACATAAATCCTTATTTGGCGGCTCCCACGCTCATTCAGTTGGGGACTTATATACGATCGTCAGAAGTTTTAGAATTGTAAAAACAAAATGAGTTTAAACCAATTATAAAGCATTACAAATTCTGGACAATTAATATTGGTAAATCTGAATACGAATCTTACACCAAAATTGGATTATAAGATGATATAATCTCGTTGAATTCTTCTGACCGGATATATACTAAAGAAATCCTCGTTATTGCTTACAATCACGCCAAACGGCCAAGTAACAGACTCTTTGGCCCAATGCCATTGAGCTAATGTCAGGAGGCTATACGCGTTGCTAGGTGCATTGCAGGGCCTTAATCAATTTCAGATTTCGCCCCACGCAATACGACGCAGTGGGCCATCCGTGGATTTCTTGCAGCAGACCCGATTAACGCAAGAAATATTGAATAGAGGCAGATAGCAAATCACAAAATCCATCATATGATATCAGAAGCCGGATCAGATGTTATCAAGCATAATCAAAATCCCGCCGGAAATGTGGGATGAAACCCATGGCAAAATAATTGAAACAATTCTTTCGTGGGTCCTAGGCCCAGAGCAAAAATATTTCCAATTTTCTCTTTGTTTAATATGAAGAATATTATTATGGGTGATGGGGCATTAAATTCTCCGATTCATTATTTGTTAATATTTGATGCATTGGTTTGAGGTCGCATGGATTGTGGCAGCATTGATAGAATTATAACGTTGTTCAACATTGCGCAACCTTTGTTACAATATTGATATTGAGATTGTTCAGATATTGACAACATTGTGATATTGAGAAACCTTACATTTTGCAGCTTGATCATAGCATGCAACAATTGATCGGATAATATATGTGCCGTAATCCAATATATTTCTTCATATATAATAGCATTTATTAATATAATATATTTTTTTTTTAATGAAAAAAATGAAATTCTTTGGGTGATCATATATGTGAAAGAAATTACACAAATAATAAGAAAAAATATTTATATAATAATATATAATAATCAATAAAATATATATCTATATAATTCAATACATATATGTAATTTATATTTTATATTTCTGAAATATATAGAAATAGTTTAGTAATTTAAATGCATATATGGAATAGTATTAAATATGTATTTTAAAAATTTGCTATATTCGTTATATCTATAATAAATAAATACAAAAAAATATATTTGGTGTTCAAATTATATATAAAAAAATATTAAAAATTTGGTAATCTATATATATTGATTATTTTATAAATATATTAAATATAATATATCTTAATTAAATTCATCTATTTTATATTTATATGCAATTTGCAAAAATGTTTATTTTATTTTAAGCAGAATAATATTTGAAAAAAAGAAATAAAATCTAGAGAATAAAAAATAATATATATATATATAGTATTATTTGTAAATCAAAAATCAATTAAATTTAGAAATAATTCATTTCGAGACGAAACGATTCGGAGGGAGAAGGGGGCTAATATATTCAAAAATCAATTCATAAATAAAGATATAATTTCAATTAAAAAAATCAATTCCAGGGAGATAAAATAAAAAAATCAATTCCAAAGGAAGAAGAAAGATGCATTAATTTATAACTATAAAATCCGAAATATAAATTGTATTGATTTCGCAAAAGAAATTCAAAAAAATATCTTTAAAAATATATTTCATAAAATATATATAAATATATTCAATTTATCAATATTTTTATTTAAATTAATACAAAAATATTATATACTAAAATAATATTACTAAATTTATAAGATCCAAAAGAATCTAAAATTCAATTTATAGAAAATATTTCCTATAATTCAAAAAATATAAATTATAATGATTGAATATATATATAATATAGATTATAATGATTGAATATATATATATATAATATATCTGTTTTATTCGAATACCAAATTAAAATATATTAATAAATATATCATTAATAAATATTATAAAAAAAATCATTTACTATATTTTCTATATTATTATATTTTTTATATTTTAGTTATATTTATATAATAGTTGTGCAAAATTATCATTATATATATAGTTATATATAGATATTTATTTAAAATATACCGACATCAATTCAATTATATTTGGTTAAAATATACCGATATCAATTCAAATAAATATCAAATTTTTCTATTATATCGTACAAATATCGATTTTAAAATTATTGTTGAAATTCTTAATAAATTCTTCATATCTGTTCCTAACATATCCTTTCCCGTTATATCTATCTCCCATATAAATTCCTCCCCCCCGTAAAAGATTCCGTTTTGTATACAATTAATAAATATCTTCGCGATTAAGAAAAAATATTCCTAAACAATTTCAAAAATTCGATAATATTATTCCTATTATAATATCCTCCTTCATTTTATCTATCTTCCATTAAAAAATCCCATCCCATATAAAATACCCTTTTTATAAACAACCATTATATCATTTACAAACCTACCCCGAAGATTTTATTCATTACCCTCAACAAATCATATTATTTTTCGCAATCCCTTCCCCATAACATTTTATTTCCCTTCCTACCTTCACAAATCACATCTTTTCCACAAAACAACAACATTTTAAGAAACATTCACCTCCCTCTCACAAAAGAAAAACCTATTCTCGACGGAAAAATACATTAAATACATATTAATATTGTCTTATCATAAATAAAAAATATATATATATATAAATATTATATTATAAAATATTGTTAATATATATAAATATTCAAATTAAAAAATATTTATAAATATAGAACTAATTTTATAGAATAAAAAACAAAAAACATAATTCCTTTCAACATCTTTCAAAAAGAATCATTAATGTAATTCTTTATTAATTCCTTTCATTTTTAATTTAATAATCCAAATTCTATTCACTAATTTGCATTTAAAAAGAATTAAAAATTAATTAAATGTAAAAATATATTATAATAAAAAAAAAAATAAACGAAAAGTACCGCAACACTACGTATCAAAAAAAATGCCTACCTATTTTAAAACCATTACTATTACGTAAAAAATTATATTAAAAAGACGAATTTATATTTAAATCAACCAATTTTATTGCTATTTTAAAATTATATAATTCAAAATTATTTATATTTTAAAAAAGACAAAATCATATAAATACCGTAATTTTTAACAATTTTAAGGCCTCCAAAAGCCTTAAAAATCCTTTCCAATAAAATGTTTCCGATCATTTTTTTAATTAAAATCCATCAAAAGCCCCATAATGTTCAATCACCATTAAAAATTTTTAAAATTAAAAAAAAATATATATATTTACGATGTGTTCGAACCATTAATTCCGAAATATTCCAATTAATTAAATTCAATATAACGTCAAAGCAACGACATAATAATTAATATTAATTTATTTTAATTTTATTTTTATTAATTTATATGTTTTATTTTATTTAATTAATTTAATATAATTTAATTATTTATTTTAAATTTAATTTAATTTAAATATAATTTAGTATTATTAATATTGTATATTTCTTCTTAAAATATGTATATTTATATATATTATTTGAATATAGTTATGTTTATTTCGTATTTGATTATTTTCTTTTTTTTATTTATAATTATGTATATTTATTTAAAATATGAAATGAATTATTACGAAAGGTATAGCCTCTAAGAAGTTGTCCGATCCTTGAGCGGCCTTTGTCATTGCAGGCACAAGCCCTTATCAACCCCACTGCCTGCTTGCCGTAGGCACACCAGTGTTCTCGATCACAAACAGCAACCGGCGATCGAGACCCGGTATGCGGTCATTGATGGCCTAGTGGATCTTGACACTATCGAACGTGAGCCCATGGGTGGAATCTAGGTTGGTGGGGAATCCAAAATCGCAAGGTCCCCTTTTGGCGGAGGGCTGAAGGGTTGAAGCTCCCCAGCTCCCCACCGTGGTAGAAAATGCTCGGCTTTTGCAACACGCCTTTACCTTGGCATTGTTGGGCGGTTTGCCCAAAGACACTGAGTCCTTTTTAGCGTGTCCAATGGGGACGCATCACTGGCCAAGGGAATTCTTTATGTACTGGCTGTAAACATACAAAGTGACGGTTACCCGAGTTATAACAAGTGTCCTAAGTGTTCATGTTTGTCTACGCCTCAATGGGCCTAACTGTGCGTTTAAATCGTCTACAGTGCTGAACAACTGTTCTGGATGGGTGTCCGTCACTTACACATTCTCGAGGCTCGGCTTTATGCGGATCATTGCTGCACTGAGCTCAGCAGTATGGCCCTGGCCTAGGTGAGATCATCTGCAATGTGCTTCATCGACTCTCGTACAAACCATAGCCCAACATCCTTCATGTATGTCCTGTGCGTAAAATACTTTTTGTGTAGCGTAATGCAAAATATTGCGCCAGCTATCAGTGACTTCCACACTCCCAGCTGACTTCTACATCAGCACCCAAACTACTTCTTGTAAGACAACTCAAATTCAGAGATTCGATTGGATTCCATGAGTTCAGGCCTCTACACCCCAACCCTCCCAAGCAAGCAAAACCGCCACCTGGACCTGTGGCTCCCAAACCCCTTGGTCAGCGACCTTGGGCCTCAAGACCAAGCAGGAGCACTCTACACATCCTGTGAGTTCTGGTGAGACAGCAATGGTTCAGCTTGGGTCGATGACTTGTGGTTCGGTGAGGGGACAACGCCGCAATCCTAAGGAAATCGACGACTTGTGCTCCGGCAAAATGATTGGCCATCTCTTGAACTTGTGAGAAACTGGCGCAATTGGACCGTGAGTCAAATCCAAAGCAAAGCGGGTTTTGCGCAGTGGCGTGACCATATCCGTGGACCCTTCGTCCCAATGGCGATGGGAGGACAAAGCTGATACAGTAACGCTTGCTGTTAGGTTCGCTTCTAGGTTGGAGGCCATTGCTGTTACTAGGTTGGAAGCCCTGTTGAAATTTGGGCACCATCTTCCCATCGCCTGCGCCCCAAGCGCGTTTCGGTGTGGAGGTGAGAAACACGCAACGCGCAGCAGTCACGAACGAAAACGGAGTCCAATAAAAGCTGCGCTCCAAGATCCAAGGAAAGCAAAGAAACAGTCTGTCCAAATCACACCAGGTAGTTCGGAAATTGAGCAGCTCGTCTACTATGTGGTTCCACTGGGTAGATAGATGCTTCACTCACCGCATGTGGATTCTGTAAGTTTCAGTCTTTTTCGCGCTGATTGGAACAAATGTCCTGCCCCTCTAACCGGCGCTTGTTCCACTGAAGCGCCGGCTGCGACAAAAAGCCCATCTAGCGCTGCACCAGCCGCGTGCCACCCCCGCCTGGCAGGATCTGTGGGTTCTCAATGATCCACCTTAGTACACGTTTGCAATGGCGGCGCCAGGCAGAACTTTGGCCTCCAGAACGGCACATTTGCTGGCATGATTGATTGGAACGAAAGCTGGCTACAGCAGGCAAGCAAATGGAGAATGAATACAGGTGGCAGTTTTCTTGAAAATATGTGTGTTACTACTAAATATTGGGAAATGTTTGGCAACAGCAACAACGACGATCGATTGTATATGTATGTATGTATGTATGTATGTATTAGTATGTATGTATGTATGTATGTATGTATGTATGTATGTATGTATGTA